TCATGCACTGCCTCTTCACCATGGGGACAGCACACCCCAGGAACACACAGCGCCCTCGCTGTCAGGTGCACTGGCGTGACAAAGTCATGGTGGCCAGAACACGTCTTCTGTGGAAGAAACACATTGCAGGAAAGCTCCGAGTGAAGTCCTTATCCTTTTTCATAAGCCCCTAGGCATGTTTACCGATAGCAGAACAGATAACAAGATGCTTTCCGTAGTGTATGTAATTAGGAAAAAATCTCTAGTGTATAATGTTAGTGCCATTACAAGTAAGAATTAGATAAGCATGTGTGAATCTTTCATAAACTCAGTCATCCTTACTGTTACCAACAAGCCAAATCAGAAACTTGGCCTGCTGCTATGCAATTTGAGCACGTACTGCAGAGAGACAGTGAGATGGCCAGGGGACCACCAACCCTGATTGGAGAAGCTGTGGGGGTTGGACTTCTTCAGCCTGGGGAAGACGGAGCTTCTGGGGGGGCACAAAACCAGCCCCTCAGTAACTGAAAGGGGTTTATTGAGAAGCTGGATTTGGGCTCTTTATTGAGGTGCTCTGTGGAGGAAAAGGCACAGCAGATTTAAATTGGAAAAAACAGGTTTTACATAAAGAACAAATTTTCACTATAATAATAATTAAGGAACAAGTTACCTACAGCCCTTGAAGGTTTTCAGGACTGAGCAAATCCATGAGCACTCTGATATGGATTCAGTGTGACCCTGCTTTTTGCTGGAGATCCCGGAGGGCCCTCCTAGATGAAGTATCCCTGTGATGCTACTAACCAGCCCAATCCTCCCCACAGCCAGCCAGAAGTCAGCCACTGGATGTCACCCTGCGCCAACTGAACATCGCTGCTCCCACCAGCAAACAAAGGACCAAATCCTGTAACAGCGGGAAGGCTTTCTTAATTACAAGCTCTTTACTTCAGGTAATGACTTAGGAACATTATACTTCTTCAAAGCAACCTTGCTGAAAAATACACAACAGTTGAGTTTAAAAGCTTCTGAATCCCCACTTAAGGTTGAAAACTTAATGCTAATTTCAGTCAAATAGATACCATGAGATTGCAAGTTCAAGGCCACATCAAGAGTCCTACACAGCCTTGTTTAAATGCAAATATCAAATACACATCAAACTGCGTGTATATTCCCCTATGCTGGGATAAAATGAGAAGAAACAGACTGTAACATCTTGTCACATAACCAACACACACTGCATGTAAGATATTGTGTACATACTACTAAAACAGTAAGTGAAACTGCTGTGATTTCTAGAAAGAGACTGCAAGGACAATAATCACTGTAGGGGAAAAGAAAGAAACTAGAAAATCAAAAGCATCCTCCACTGCCTGCTAGCATAATATTGATTCTCCTCTCCTTCTCCTGAAAGTCAGTTCCTGCTTATTTCAGCCAGGTACACTACAGCATGAACACTTACAGGTCTGAATGATCTGTTCTGAAACGAGCTTCACCTAAGAATGTGAAACGCAGAAAGCAGATCTGTGTTGTGTCAAAACTATTGATTCTTAACTGTCAACTTCACAATAATAGTGCTGCCAACTGCAACCACTCAAAAAGTTTTCTCCAGGCATCCCATGCTCCCCTGCCATTTCTCCCTTCCCCACTTCCCTCAGACTTCATCTTACAAGTCTGGGATAATTTTGTTTACCTTTGGTGGTAGTGCTGTTAAGATTAAGGTTGTCACGCTTCCCTACATTTGTAAAGGGTAGAAACTTAGACTTCCCTCTAAAAAAAGATTCTCAAGTAATAATCAAGCCTCAGCAATGGGAATTTCAAATTAAATAAACATTGTGAAACTTGCAAATAATAACAATAGAGGCATATTGTGCCATATCTCTAGAATGACAAGACCATGTCAGACTGCAACACCTCCACTCTTCTGAGCACACACACCATCCATCCCTCACAAAGTGAACCTACCCAACATGCCTACTCAGCGTAGAATTTACACAGTGAAGAGATTGCCCTCAGAGAGGCATTGGCCATGAAGATCAGGAATTGCTGCATTCGTTGTATCACAGATGTCCCTGGTGACTAACGAATGAAGTCACAATTCTCCTTCGGACATCTAAAAAAAGGATCCTGCCAAAAAGTCACATGATGAAGCTGTAAATTTATCTAGTCTACCATACCAGAGTTCAGATTGTAGCATAGGTCACCAGTGCTTGCAAGATGACAGTTTTACACGATGTGGATGTATAAAACAAGTACCTATGACATTGTGCAGATGAAAGGCGCTATAAAGCTTCATTAGATTGGAAACCATCCAACAGTTGCACATTAGAGAGTGAATTCAGTAGACAAGTAGCTTTGCCAGTACAATGCTTCTTCACAGCCAGGTGCTTTATGAATTCAACAAAGTCAACCCTTATCTTACTTCCCACAGAATTAGATTTTCAAGTAGCAAAGACAGACTTTGATGCCCCTCAAAAGCCTGCTGAGTTATTTTCTGCACAGAAGAGATCACCACAGAACAGGGCCTCTGATGGCAGCCAGAGAAAGGGGAAAGAGAAATAAATACATACTGCCCACATTCTGCCACAACGACCCCCAGACTGGCTATAACTGCCAAAGAAGTAATAGCAGGCTGTTTTTCACTGATACTCCAAACGTTGCCCTTTGTACAAGCTCAAGAAGGACATTATATGGATACCTCCTCCCTGTTGTATGCAGCCTGCACTGACGGTATTCTCCTCTTCGTTGTTTTACTGTCCTGAAGTATCCATAGCTCATACAAGGTGGTTAAAAACCAAATAGGAGTTGAAACCAGTTAAGTCTGCAAGCTTTTCTTTACAAAGAACATGGGTTAAGGATTAAGCACGATGTCAAGGACTAAAAAGACCAGTCTCACTTTATACCACAGAAAATGCAGTTCTCCTGGCCTGAAGCTCCTGCACCGTAAATGAAAAGGTAAGGACAGTATCTCTGTGGAGAAATGCATATAAACCTTTTTACATCTGCCTCTTACATATCCACGTAGAACTGGGTGCGTTAATAACTGTAAGCAGTTATCTGAAATGATGACTTGAGGAAAGCCTTTGATTTCCCCATGGCAAGTGCTAAACCTCACATCCCAATTTTCATTTATGGTATCCACAGCGCCATTTAATGTATTTTGTGCGTTGTTTGCAAACACTTACTGCTATGCAAACTCTTCTGGTACCTGCAGCTTCTAACCTGTGAGCAGGTCTACAACTCACTTCCACTGAGCCTATCTAAAATAAAGGCACACAATTGCAAATACCTCACCTTGGAAAGCTGTGCTGTGGACGATCCAGCTGAAAAACGACTATTTGTTGGTAAAAAGTAACCTCTCTCTCACGAGAACCCTGCTAGAGGCCTTTGACAAATTGTCCTGGTTTAAGAGATACAGAATTAATTTTTCAGTAATTTTACTTTTCAGTAAGGTCTTTCCTAATGTTTGGGAAAACTGCACTTTTATAAGACTGTAGTGCCTGAATTTGTGAAACTACTTACTTTATAGCCAGCTACAGTGTGCAGGTTTCAAGGTCTCAGTGTTTCTGAGCTCACCAGGTGCAGGAATAAGGAGAAGAGAAGAGCCAAGCACTTGACCCAAGCTGCCAACAGGATTATTTCCCATCACGAACGTCCCCTTCAATATAAATTAGAAAGTTTTATGAGGAGTCCCTCTCTCTCCCTCCCTCCACCCCGAGAACTTTCTGTCCCAGTACAAGACCCCTCAGCACAGGGGCCAAATACCACCGCCGCTTTCAGCCACAGTTACCGTGGAGTGACACACCCTCCCGCTCCGGAGCGGGTGTGGGGGACAGGAGTCCCAGCCCAGCGCCTCCCGGGCGGAGGCAGCGGGACCCACGGCCGGCCCGGTGACGGCCATCTCCGCCGCCCCACGCCGCCCCACGCCACCCCCTCTCCCTTCCCCACAGCCGCGAGCCGGCAGCACGAAGATGGGCGGGAGTGGAGCGGGAAGAATGCCCGATTCCCATTGGCTGCCGCGCCAGCGCACGCGCGGCCCCGCCCTTCGGGAAGGCGCTGAGGGGAGCCCCGAGGGCGGGGCGGGGGTCACGAAGCTTCACCTTGGGGCCGCGCTGCGTTTCTGAGCTGGAGCGCCCTCCTCTGGTCTGCGTGGCTTCGGAAACGTGCGGTTTCGTTTTTTTTAAAAAAAAAAAAAAAAGTTGAAAAACTTTCTTGTCCGTCGCCCGATTCTGTGAGTGAGGCTCTCAGCAGGTTAAACTGAACATTAGGAAAGAGTTCTTCACAGAAAGAGCAGTCAGGCATTGGAATAGGCTGCCCCAGGAGGTGGTTGAGTCACCATCCTTGGACGTGTTCAAGAGTCGTTTAGATGTGGTGTTGGGGGATATGGTGTAGGGGAGAACTTTGTAGAGTAGGGTAGATGGTTGGACTTGATGATCCCAAGGGTCTTTTCCAACCTGAATGATTCTAAAGCTTTGAATATTTAGGGTGTTGAGGCACTGGAACTGGTTGCCCAGAGAAGCTGGGAGGGGTTCAAGGCCAGGCTGGATGGGGCTTGGAGCAACCTGGTCTGGTGGGAGGTGTCCCTGCCCAGGGCAGGGGTTTGGAACTCAATGGTCTTTAAAGTCCCTTCCACTTCTGACCATTCTAGTCTCTGATTCAGTAGGGGCTAGACATCTTCAGAACTGGCTCTCCAGGGAAGCAACTAGGCACCATGCTCCCTCCAGGCTGGGAGAGACCTTAGACAGGCACCATCCCCAGCCTCAACCCCTCCTCCTGGGGCTTTGAACATGCCCTCGATCAGCATATACAATGGTTGAGATACTCTTTTGAACTCAGGGCTGAAGCCCATATTTAGTTACTGTGGATTTCTCAGTTATGGGATAGCTCTTGCCACAGAAATTGTTTATTCTGGCAAGTCACATATGGCTGAGGCAAGGAAGGCCTTTTGAATGGTGTAAGGTCATGGCAGGAAAGCACAGGTTAAAATCACACATCTAATCCCATACATAGCATATTAATACCACTCAGCAATTCAAAGGCTTTATTGACAAGTAATGAATTATACACAGGTAAAAACTCTAAAGAACAAATCCTGTGTGGCACTATTTCCCCATCCAAATCACTCCCTTTAAATGAAAACTTAATTGTTTTGAAGAAGGATTATGTATTTCACAAACATCTACTGCTGGAAGGGCTGTGTGTTCTGGGAGGGCATCCAGGTTTCCTTCTGTCAGCTTTCCCTGGCAGCAGCCGAGAGATTACCTGACTGCTGCTTTCAGCACTATTCACAGAAGAAATCAATGTCCTGAAAAAGAGAGTCAAAAGGAAAGATGTTTTGAGATTACTGAAGGATTAACATACCTTTATCACCTCCCAAAGGTGCATGAGTAGATGCAAACACAGAATACACTACCATATACTCAAAGTACACTATAATATACTCAAATTTTGTTCTCAGTAAATAAGTGAACTTCACAGAATCCTCAAAAATAAAAAAGGTCCTTTGTGTCCTTTTGCGTAGCGGGGATGGTTTGTTCCTGCCATCAATTTTTAAAGTGAATTAGGCAATACCACCATCTCTCTTCATTTCAAATGATTCCTTTATCTCCCTTTTTTGTTTTGTATTCCCACCTCCATACCTGGATTGTCATATGTAACCCCTCATCATTAACAGTTCCTAATCACATATGAAAAGGATGCCTTGAGCAGACTGAGGCTACATGATACACTGGCTGTGGAGAAATGTGACTAGAAAATAAATGCCAGTATTTTGCTTGAAAACTTCCAGTCTAGTGGACTTCCACAGCATATTGCTTTCATCGCATTTCCTGCTATTATTTTATATGGCTATGTAGATCGCTGTTCTGTTGCGGGGCATTATCACACCGTGGTGCTCAAACTGTACGATGTTTACGTTAGAACAGTCTATCACATATAGCTATCCACTGGAAGCAGAAGACAGGGAGCTGATCCAGAACAGATGCTTACTGGTAATGAAAATACTCTCATTTTAACCAGCAAATGGCCAGTTTTAAGCTGAGGGAAGGCAGGCAATCCAACACTGCTTTGTAGCACACAGTCTATTGTGTTGAATCTGTTGTATTCTGTGCGATTCAACGGTTCAGGGGGAGCAGCACTGGGAGGGGGAGAAATCTCCTAAGATTTATTTCTCAAACAGCAACCAACTGGCATAGATTACCCAGAGTTGCACAAAAGAATGCTGAGAGAAGTTCACAGACTGAAACGTTTATTAGTAGGGTCTGTATCTCATGGCATACAGAGATTTCAACAGTGAAAGTTACTTTTTTGGGGGGGAGGAAGGGGGAATAAAAGCAGGGTCAAAGACACAGAGGCCCCCAGGCTGATGTCCTCTTTCAGGCTTCACTCCACTGCAGCAGGCATCCCCCCATAACAGTCCCCATCAATTGGTCCTCCATGCAATGCCATGTGTGTGCACCACCCAGGTACTGCATGAAGATTAACTATTAAGCTTTGGGCATCATCAGGTCCCCTGATATAAATGTCAGGCCCTTCCCAAGACAGCCCATCGTCATACCAATATTGGGCTTTGCAGGGGCAAGGGTGCAGTGTCAGCTCCTTAAGGCCACATTTGCAACATCTAGTTGAGAGCACTAGAAAAAGGAACATATCTGTATTGCCCTTTGTTTCTGTTGTAAAGCTCCTGCGCAGCAAGAATGTGAAGTAAGGGTGAAACAACTGTGAAAGTTTTGCAAATGAAAATTACTTTCCAATTAAAGTTCTGCATTGCTGCCCGACAACAGCCCATTCTGGACCCCGAGTCAGCCTGCAGGCTAAAACATCGCTTTAACCCACCTCTGCTTCCAGTTCAGCTTGCTGTGCAGCAGACTGGCTGTCACATTGTTGAGAAAAGAGCTTAGAAACGTATTTTAGTAATTCTTTCATGTTCTTTGGCTAATTAATTGCTGCAATGCTTCTGGACCAAATTCAGAACAACCTAATGTAGTATCAAGAAAAGCAATCACTTATCCAAGATTCGCACTTCCTCAAATAAAGCTTGTTTGACACATTATAACGCAAATCCTAGCAGCTATTAACATGAAACAAAATTCTTCCTTTCACTTATTTCCTCTGCGTTAACAAAACCCATCTAGTAATCTGGGCCTGGGATTAAAAACTCCGTATATGATTTCAGGATTGAAGCACTAATTGTTATATTTTGCCATACACTTCAAAACTGCAAAGAGCTAAATATTCACTGCTGATGAAGGTTGTTACTGCAAACCTACCATTCGATTTATTTTTAAGCATAGGAATAAGCTACTAGTAAGCTCTAGTTGTAAACCAAACCATGCCAGCCTCTGAGAAAGGACCCTCCTCTTCCACTCCTCTGTGAAATGTTTCAGATGTTCAGTAAAATCATGAGTTGTCTGGTGTATGAGACACTACATAATTAGGGACAATCATCCTTTCAGAAATGCAACCTACTTACTCACCACTAACGTCTCTCCAAAATTTTTCTAATTCAGCATTTTAACATACCAATGACTTTGTTACAAGAAAGGTTTCAGTAAATCAGAAGTTCTGCATGACAGCATCCATCTAAATATACAATTAACAGAAAGTGCACTTGTACACGTTACTAAAGCACACATCCAGACTCTAAAAAGAGAGCTTTGGGTAAAACTTATGTGACCTTTAAGGAATACTATTCAAATCGAGAGGAACTCTAATAGGATCAAGCCCTTAATGCAGCATTTGCAATATCAAAGCTTATGTTAGGGATTTTATTGAGGCTATTTGCCTGTGTAAAGGCCCAAAGATTGGATCCCTAAGCATCTGTGATATGCTACAATCAACTGCCACAATTATGATTTGTTTTTACAGCAAATTAGCATTAAACAGCCAAGTATAATTATGTAGCCAGCTGGGCTTTTGCAAATTCCTTACCGTTGTAGGAATAGTCTTATTTGCTTCTTGATAGACATGTTGTTCTGAGACTAAACTGCTGGGGAAATAACCAACTGTCCCCATATGGTCTTCATACTGTTCTCCATAAACCTTCAAGCAAGGAGATGTATAATTAGGTACCTTAAAACAGTCCTCATCTGGCTTAAGCTAGTTCGCAATTTAGTCAAAAGCAGTTACTAATAGTGTTTCTTACTCCAGTCTTAGATTTCCTAGTTTCCAATTAGCTGGCACATGAAATGAACCATTAAGAAAAGTTCTAAGTAAATTAACACCGCCTATAGTTGATTTTTTTTTTTATATAGAAATGCAGCTAATATTTATCTTTGCTTCCCGTAAATGTAAGGGGTTTATGATGAACTGTGATAAAAAAAAAAAAAAAAATCTAAAAACTTTCTCCTCTGTAGCTTCAGCAAGCAGCCACAGAAGAGGACTGTTGAGCCCCTCTGTTAAGGTTCAGTTTCTAATTACCATAAGTTATTGGAGATATTTCATAAAACAAAAAAGTAACTATTAAAACAGATTGAGGAATTTTGAGGGTTTAAGTATAAACATTCACTTTGAAAACTAAGTTGCTGACTTAAAACCCACAACAGCTCAGCATTAGCATCCATTTTTGACAGAAATGCATGTTAACCTACTTCTGCTTTGCTCATATAAACAAGAATCTCCTCTTACACTTCCAGCCCAGAATTCTCCAGAGTCTTTTTCTTTCACTAGTTTTGAGTAAACATAAATCAACTGCCCTTTTTTAATATTAATGAATCTGCAGTCTGGAGCATTATAATCCTCTTCTGCTCTGGCAAGGGAAATGGTGTCTAGAAAAAAAAAAACAACAAAAAACCACAAAAATGAGGTGGACAAATTTAAATACAGATATACTTTTACAGAGAGAAATATAAATATATAAGTGTGTGTGTGTGCACAAGTAAAACTATTTCTACAGACAAAAGTAGGTTACCCTGAAATTAATACAAGTCAAGAATTTGTCCTGCTCATTTTATTATTCTCCAGGAAGGAGAGTAACGGCTTAGAATGTGCCATTTCATCGTAGTGGAAATTATAATCCTCTCTGCCCTTGTCTTTCACTTGAGTGAAAAATGTCCCTTGCAAACCCCTTTTTGCAGTAAAACTGTGACATTCCACATAAAACCCTCCCACTCTTGCTTTTAAAGTTGACAAATCAATGCAAATATAACAGAGCTAAATAAGCAGAATAGCTTTCCCCTCACACTACAGCATCCAAACTGCATTTTTGAGACTTTTGAGACTCTATTCTCAAATTTAAAACTACATTACTTACAGACACAGTTGTCATCAGCACACAGCTTCTTGCTGGCAAGCTTGTCCATAAAAACTCCAGTTACAAAAGGACACATTAATCCGAGACACAAAAGTAGAACACCCAAATGAACGTGTTGTGTCATTTTTCTCTGAAGCAGCGCTTGCCGAATGCGTGCCAGGTCCAGCAATCCTCGTCTTTTATGGAAGAGGCAGACACCTGGACAAACACACCAGGCCAATGGGAAGGGGTCAGGGTGACATTCCACCCCACCAGAGGAGCCGTAGGCAGGACGAAGACAGAGTCCACTTACAAAACCGTTATCTCCTCCCAAAGCCAATCTACATTAACATTTCAATCAGCAACTGTATTATTTAAACATTTTAAGCCTTCCTGTAGTAGTCCATAGTCTTAATCTTACCTCAAGCAGAGTTTAAGAACGAAAATTAAGTCAGACCCTGTTAAGCAGCAAAGGAAATTACATCCTCCAAATCCTCAAGTTCTTCATTTTCACCCATGCTCACCGAGCAGTGTAATCTTCACTGGACCCTAAACCCTCAGTGGCAGAGATTTCCCTGGTACAGCCTACAGAAAGGACCTCCTAGGACCCTAACACATGGACGCAAACATACACAAACCATCAGGGAGTTGAATCCCAATAAAAAGGGCTCTGCAGGTCATCCATTTAAAGTCTAAAAGGCTCAAGTGCTGCATACTTGTACAGGCAAGATCCCTTCCACAGGGAGAGACAGTTCAGAGCAGAACACACGGGTTGTGCCAAGACAGCAACTGTTTCACTGCTGTTTACATACCTGAACTCCATGGAGGGTTTGCAGATGCAAGAGGCCGAACAACATACAGTGCCACAGGTACTCCATCACCTGAACAAAACACTGCAGCCTTTGAAGGGATTTTTGCACCCACATATTTAGAACAGTTACTCACAATACTATATCTGATTACATCACTGCATCCCATGTATTTCATGTCACATGAGACCTGTAAACATTTTTGACAAATACTAAAAAAAATCCACTAAACCAAAACCCAAACCCAGAAGCATTAGGTCGTGTATTTTGAAAAAAAGCTGCCTAAACACAGATTGTCAGGCTCATCTGCACTGTTTTTGTAAAGAGCTAGAGAGCCCTTCATAAACCATTTCTTAAGATCACTGGTAGCAGGGCTGGAAAGAGCAGAAGAACAGACAACAGAAACGTTTATGTTTCTTCTGTGGACCTGCTTCTACTACCACCCACCATTAGAAAGACAAAACCAAGTTAACAACAGTGCTGTCAAACTAAAATCACTATCTACCTATGCCTGGAAAAAAAAGGCCACTAATAATAATTTGTTTTTTCTTAAGTGACAAAATTGTCCTTGCTGAAAAGCAGCTGTCCCTTTGACAACGAGACTGAAGATTGAGTGTTGTGTTTATTCTGAATATGCTGCCATCTAGCATTCCTGCTCATGCTTTTTGCTCTGAAAAGACAACTACTTATACAGCACTCACTTCTGAGTCATGAAAGTCACCTAAAAAGTAGTTAAATCAATATAGTGAAGAAGCCCTGCAAGCCCTGCAAGTAAGACAGATGCAAGGAAAAACATGGCTAGAGAACAGCACAAACCGCATTTATTTTATAAAAAAAATTAGTATTTCAACACAAATATGTACTATCCAAGAGATCCATAGAAATCCTAAGTCTGTGTGTTGTGGCAATTTTACACAAGTCTTAAGTTTTCTGCAGAGAACAGCAAACGTGAGCCGATCATCATATTAAAAAACCCCAACTATCTGCAGAAGTTCTTCACAGGAGCATCTAGTTATTTCTTCGCATAAGTGATTTTCATGGCGTGAGACGGAGTGATCTTGAATCCTTGGAGAGCATCTCGAGCAGCTCCTGCTTGATTCTCATTTTCAAACTCCACAAATGCAATGTCATGGCGCCCAGGCACTAAGCGGACTTCTTTGAATCCAGGAAACCTTTAAAATAAAGTGAGAGTGTCAGATAATATTTCCTAGTTTGATAATACATCTCTCTTCACTAGCCAAAAGACCTTACCATAAGCATCTAACAGTATATTTACTACTAATAAGAGATTCAAATTGAAGGCTTTTACATGTCCAGTCCTTTGAACCATGCCTCAATTAAGGATCATTACACGGAAGCAATTCAGTCTTGCGCACACATGGAAGCAACTAAAGCTAGTCTTAAAACTGCTCCTGCTGTTGTGAAGTCTTTAATATTACAGTCACTAGCTTAAATCCGGTGCAGACTGATAGCAAATATCTTACACAGTCAAGACCAGCTACGAAAAAGAAAATCAGATTTGCTTTCTGCACTAAGTCATCTGAACCAACATCTGCAATCTTGGCAGCAAGACAAAGAACTGAAATACCTTCAGAAGAAATTCTCATTTCTAAAAAGTCAGCTTGCCAACTGAGAAAAAGCATACAGGTAACAGAGGAATTCAAAGGAGAAGTCCTTTCTATTCAAGACTTACTGGTTGAATAACATGGACAGCATCATCTCATTTGTTTCCTCAGGCAAGTTATTAAGGAAAAGGATATAGTTGGGTGGGTTATCAGGCACCTGCAACAACAGAAGATCAAAGTTCAGAAGATTATACACAGCTATCTGTTCCTCTTGATCTGGCTGCACAATTATTTGAACCAAGACTCACATATCCTCAGTTTTGCTCATCACACTACTAGTTGGACTCGAGTATACCTTCATGGAATAAGCAGACATAGCCCCTTGGTTCTTTCACACTGATATATTAATTTGGAAAGGCTCTTACTTCCAAAAAAACCCACAGTAACATACTGTCCTGTATGTCATATTTAAACTTGACAACTCAACAGCTGGTCCTGCAGTGCCCTCAGCGCTGCCGAGGAGGGATCCAGGTGCCTGAACACCGGCTGTCCAAGACACCTGGGTGGCAGTGAAGGAACCCATGAAAGGCTTGCATGCTTCTGGAACAGCACTTGGAAGCCAAGATAAATACCCTGTTCATCTACAGTAGCACTGGAATACTGAACATCTTTGGGCAACTAAAACCTACAAAACAGATACGGTTTTACTACAGTGTTCTGTTCAAATTTATTAATTAGAAACCCCGTTAGATTTTAAACTTTAGAGTCTTTATCTAACAGATTTGTCTGCTAATATGAATTTGTAGCAACCCGCAAGGCTGAGTAGTCAGTTTGTTGATGCTGAACTGAAAGGTTAGAACATTCCTAAGTCATCAAGGAAATTACTACAACGAAAAGGAACTGGACACCACAACTTCAAATGTTCTAATAGTGCTGCCAACTTAATGCCTCAGGAGAACAATTTCCTTCAGCTGGTGGAAATATTCCAGGCAGTGCCAACAGAAAATAAACTTCCAAACTTCAAACAAACACCTAAAAACTCAGTTGTGCTTCAATGCAAACTGACATACACATATCATGCCTGAAAGAATATCCAGACTGGGAGCAAGGAGTTTTCCCCTATGGATTATGCACACAATTCTCAATGATTATTTAAGAAATGCAGGGCAGGCAAAGATACACTTCTCTGGTATTTGCCCTCCTGCAGAGCCTGGCTCTTTAGTACCTCCACTTCTAAAACACATGAAGCATAGAGAGCTGGTGCTACATCCCCACACAGTCCTTTGGAAAATAAGACAACATATGAGGAAAAAAAGTAACAGCAACCAAAGGACCCCCCAGACTCCTGAAAGGAAGCTATCTGAAGGCAGATATTCTGGCACTCTGTGTAGTTGTCCTTCTCCATTACAACAAAGTTAGTTAAAGGGAATTAACAATGAAAAAAAAATTACGAATCCTTCAACTGATAAGCACCGTCCAAATTTAAGAAACAAGTGAGATTTGTTAATAGTGCATTTTTCTGTATAATGCTGAGAAACTATAGGTTTTCACGTCATATCAAGCACATACAGTAAAAGTGTGATTTCTTTTGTTCACTGTGATTTAGCTGTTAAAGACAAATGTATCACAAAACAAAAAGGAAGCTGTAAAATATATCCTCAAGTTTCCATGTGTAACAAACCATTATTGATAGAGAATGATTTTAAACGTTAGTGCTTTTAGTCACACACGCACAAAAAGCATTACCTGCTGGTTCTGTGCTGCAGTCCCTGGGGCACTGGCTGAATTTTGTGTTGCTCCCTAGTAAAGAAGTACAAAATACTTTTACAAAGGTGTTCTGTTAGAAATATATAAACACACATCACCACGTTTCTCTACAACTCAAGAAGTACGTTAAGGTTTTTTTAAGCGACAGTCCAAGGAACATTTGTTGCTTATGAGGTATCTCCTGAAGGGAAACATAAAGCACATTAATTTTGTTGAACTTCAAAACCAGGCAATGAAAGACAAAAACATCAGCACTATCTGATCTCACTAATGGCCAAACCAGCAGATAGAGCAAATCACTATTTCCCAACATTATAAAATTTAATTTAATAGACAGGAAGGAAGTACTTTTGAAAATGAAGTCCTAGACAGGACATACCTAATAAAACAAGTGTTACCACTGAGGACTCCAGTTTAGCAAAGATAACTAAAGCTATCACTATTATAGCTGGTAGCAACTATATCTTTCAAAGAGATTTGTATATAATGATTGATTTTTTTAATAAATCCTGAAGAATCTGAATATTCTATTTAACAAAGGTTGCTTTCTATGAACACTCTTATTTCTTCTTGATGCCAATTTGTGCCTTAGCAGGAAGCATAGTTAAATAACACAATATTCAAACTCTATGCTTTGATAGTTTTTTATATACTTCACCACATAAATTACTAAATGTTGTTCGTTTAGGCCAGGCCACCCTTAGTGGGGATATATCCCAAGACAACTCCTTTTCGTCCACCTGTAAATGAATTATCTTTTCCCATTTATCATTCTTCAGTGCTTACAGAGCAAGTAAGGCATTAAAACACCAGAGGGAAAAGCTGGTTAAGCACTTGAAGCTGGCATTTAAGACAAGTGCACATAGATCTCCTTTTTGTCTTTATTTATTTTTTTAAAGAGGTTAGTTTCTGCTTTGGTTTACTGTACCTTTGCCCTAAAAATAAAAAAAAATGAGGAACAGCAAGGACTATGTTATCAGTCCCCTCTTCTTCCACTTGCAATGCTTACTAGATATCAATAGACCACAATTTAGGGAATTGAGAAGTACCAAAAGTCAATACTTAGTCCTAAAAAAAAATAAATTAAAATAGCTGTTGTGTTTGTTTGCTTAGTTGCGTTTTTCCTTTTTAAACAGAGAAGCAGCTTACCTGGATAACCTTTTTATTTGCTGCATTTGCTGATTGCTCCAGAGATTTGGCCTTCTTCTTTTCCTTCCTCTTCTCCTTGTCAGCAAAAGTGCCACGCATTTTAGAGATGATATCAGAGTCTGTTTTTGCATACTGAATACGCTTTTTAAAAGGGAAAAAAAAAAAACCACAGTACATTTTGCAGTTAATAATACTGAACACTTTGCACCTGTCCTGGTTTCAGCTGGGAAGGATTGCTGTGATTCCAGTAAAAGGAATGTCAATAATACCTATTGTTTTTAGCTGTTGCTGTGTGATGTTTACACTATTCAAGGACTTTTTTCAGCTTCCCAGAGAAGCATAGACAGAAGGATGGAATGGCCAGTGAAATACTCCACACCACAGATGTCAGTAGATGCTCAGTACATAAATAGGGGTTGGCCATGGCGGGGGTGCAATCCACAATCACTGCTCCAGACAGTGCCAATGCACCAGGTGGTGGGAGTGACTCATGTCATTATTATTATTTTTCCTTTTCTGTTATTGTTTCTATTAAACTGTCTTTATCTTAACCCATGAGTTTTTTCCCTCCCTTGCGTCCCACCCTTTGGGGGGTGGAGGGGAGTAAGCGAGCAGCTGAGTGGTTCCAGTTGCCAGCTGGGGTTAAACCACAACAGCACTGCTTTCATTAACTGTGTTCTACTAAACTGCATTTACACTTTTTTTGCAGGAACTTCTCATATTAAAAATATTGTTATAAACTGTAGGTATGCTTACAGAGTATCTAATCCTCATAATTAATTCTGAGCACAACTAGTGAACTCAAAAAAAACCCAAAACAAACCCAAACCTAGGATGGTAATTACTAATTTTAACTCATTGAAATCAGAACCCTATTCATCCAACAGCATCTTTTTAACATCTGTCAAGGAAACATATACCAAATGATGAAAGGACATTTGACCAAATTGGCACTAGCTTCTATTAAAAAAAATGAGAGGGTTTTTAAATGCCATTTTATGGGGAGTTCAAGTTTTACAATAATTTCTCAAATCTCTACAGAAAACTGAGTTCAGCAAAACTCAGACTTTTTAAATAGAAAGGTAAGTACCTGCCTTAATCCAAACTGGGTTGCCCAAGTTCTGCCAGCAGCGCAGTGGTGCTGGTTTCCTGCCAGAGGCTGCCCAGTGCACTAGGCAGGGGG